CCCAACAGCCCTGTGAGGCACTGTTATTATCCCCGTTTTACAGGTAAGGAAACTGGAGAGGTCGCGTGTGGGGGCCAAGGTTATACAAATTGTGAGCCATGGCGGCGGGTTGGAACCAGGAGTCTGGTCCCAGAGTCTGTGCGCCCGGTCACTGCCCGGTGTTCCCAGGTTATCTCCCGGTCACTGTCATCCGTTGTCAAGGCGACTCTCCAGATGAAGAACTGTTATTATTTTTAATAAGTTGTGTCATTCCAGGGAAGGGACTACTTGTGAATTAATTGAAGCTGAAACGAGACCATGAATGTCACCGGCAAGGCAGAGATGCCTTGCTTCTGAGCGTAGGGGCAAGAAGAGGCCAGCCTCCCCCCGGGCAACCCTGTGGGCACCTCCACGTAATCCCATGTAACCATCCCTGATCCGTAGGCAGAGCCATCAAAAAGGTCATCTGACGTTGGACAGACTCTTTTAGTGATTTTAAAAATTCTTGCCCTGGCTGGTGTAGCTCAGTGGATTGAACGTGGGCTGTGAACCAAAGGGTCACTGGTTCGATTCCCAGTCAGGACACATGCCTGGGTTGCAGGCCAGGTCCCCAGTGGGGGCCCCACGAGAGGCAACCACACATTGATGTTTCTTTGTCTCTCTCTTTGAAAAAAAAATCTTAAAATATATATTGGGAAAAATAATTTCAAGAGTGAGTTTCGGTTACCTGGAAAACCCAGCGCTGTCGATCATCTCGAGCGTAACCTGTGCCAGGCACAGGCCGTGTTCCTGCCGCGCGTGGAGGGTGCTGCGTGTGCTGTCGTCAGCGGCAGGCGGGAGAGCCTCAGGCGCGATGTTTTTCAGAACAAACACGGTGACCATGTTCAGCAGCTCCGTTCCGCGGGTGGTGAGCAGCATCCCTTGGAAACCGCAACAGGTCACGGTTCACCGCAGGCGTTAAGAGTCAGTGTGTTTTGCGATAGTTTGTCTGTAGATACATCGCATCGCTGAACGCGTGCTCGCCGCCGGGCTGTGGTTTCTCCCCGGGCGGCGCTCTCCAGCCGGGAGAGCCTGAAAGTTACTGGTGCGGCAGCTGAGATGCGGCTGGGAAGCAGGCTGCCCCGCTGGCCTCGGGGCTCTGCCTCTCTGCGCCCCGGCGACCTCAGGCAAGCTGTTGTCCTTCTGTCCCTCAGGGTCCCCGTCTCTACGGTGGTCGCGAGAATACCGGTGCCTGCCTCGTTCTGCAGTTGTGCAAGTTAGTGGAGGTATAATACGTACAAAGTGCGGACAGCGCCTGGCGTGGGGGCCGACCCTCCAGAGGTCTTAGCCGCTCTTGCTGCCTCGTCCTCCCTCTTCCATCTCCTCGTTGCCTGAGAAGGGGACTCGGGAAATCAGCTGTGCAGCGTGCAGGGACCTCTCTCTGTCACAGCCGACTTACCTTTTCCCGTTTTCTCCCACCAAACCTTCCAGGATCCCGAATGTTCTGTTCTGTGCGGTTGCTTCACCCAATTACATGGGGCTGCGTACAAAGGTGCTTTTCACTCGCTGATACATCGGGGCTGCTCAGCCACCCAGGGTTTTCAGGAGACGCCTGCGCAGGCGAAGTGGACCGACCTCCGAGATCGCCGCCTCTTGCTTATCGTTTGTGGGAGGCACGGAGCGATTCCTCCGCCCTGGGCTGGGGCCCGTGTGCCTGTGCGGTCTTCAGGAAGCCCTTCCCACAAGGTTTCCACCGGCAGCAAGCGCTTCCTCCCCTTCGCTTGGGGCGCTGTAACCACTTGGAGCCCGCGGGGCGCCTGCGCCGCCTGCCGGGGCTGCTCCTCCAAACCGGCCCCTGCGCGACGGGCGGCGCGCGCAGACGTCCTAGCAGAACCCAGACCCACCAAACAGCCCCCCTTGCGTTCTCACGCGCCTGTTGCCTCACATTCCGGCCTGGTCTCGTCCGTTCTTTCCTCGTCGAGGATTAAACTCGCGTTTCGAGTTTGTTCATTCTCTAAAACCGTTTTTCTTAGGGTGCCTTTACACGATGTAATTCTTAATCGTGGTAAGGGTTATTGTTTTGTGTTCTTCCTTTCCTCATCGTTCGTCCACTGCATGCTCAGCTGCTGGCGCGGAGTCCCGCTGTGGTCGGAGGGCGAGGTTTTCCCTTCGAGCCCCTCCCCCGCATGGGGGGACCGCAGGTGCGCAGGGCTGCTGACAGACAGACAGCAGTGGTCCAAGAGTCTTGGGGGGGGGGCGGGCAGATGGCTGCCGGTGCCCCCTCGCTCCACCCGGGCTCTGGAGACAATCAGCCTGTCCTCCCACCTTCCCCTCCCCCTTCACCTGCTCCTCTTCTTCCTTCTGTGCTGATCAGTGGCTTCAGGAAGATGAAGGCCAGAGAGGGTCAGAGCCAGGACTCCCACACCAATCTCTCCATTCATAATGCGGGCTACTTTCTTTTTGGTTTTCTCTTAATTTTATTTTTCAATTCCCGTTGACATTCAGTATTATTTTGTATTAGTTTGAGGGGTACAGCACAGAAGTTAGACAGTCAAATACTTTAGAAAGTGTCCCCCCAATTCTTCCGGGCCCCACCTGGCACCACACGCAGTCATCACAACACCAGCACTGACTCTGTTTCCTAGGCTGCGCCGCGCCCCCCGTGACTGTCCTGTAGCTGCCAGTCTGCACTGCTCGGTCCCCCCACCTCGGCCCCCCAACCCCCAGCCCCTTCCCCTCTGAGCACTTTCTCTTCCGACCTTCCGTGTGGAAGGACCATTAGAACATGACATGTTCTCTCTCCTCAAACCTGCAGACATTAAAATCATTGTGGTTTTAATGTGTTTTGCTAATCACTGATTTTCTGGAAGAACCAAAAAATAGCACTTTCAGGGCTTGCGCTAATTAAAAAAAGGAACTTCTCCAGGTCCTCTGTGCGTGATCGGCGCTGCCCAGTGAAGCACACAGGGTTTCCACCGTACCCGTGTAGCCATCTGTAAGAGCGCAGGCCAGCTGCCGCCCGGTGGGTTCTGGGAGGCGTCCCTCTGTGCTGACCACCCAGACAGGGCTGCCTGTCTGCCCCTGGTACCAAGGCAGCCTACACCCATGACCCAGACTCTTATAAATACCTTTGGTTCCTACAGGAAGAGGAATATTTCTGCAACAGTATGACCCTGAAATTTTATTAAGAAAGTGATTCTGCCACTCTCAGTGCGTGCTCCCAGGGCAAAGACCCATCTGCAGCCCCGGGTTCCCTGCAGATGCGTGTGTTGTGGGCAGACGAGGCAGGGTAGTCAGTGTCCAACACCAGCACACACTTCCCGAGCCTGAGCTTCTTCGCAGTGTCAGCCTGGCTGCGGGTGAAGGAAGAGGGGCCCATTCCCCAGCTGGTCGTCTCGGTGGCCCTGCTTGGGATCCCACCTCCCCCAGCCCCCTCTGGAACGGAAGCTCCCCCAGGACCGGGACAGTATCCGGTTTGCTCCCTGCGCTGTTCTCAGAGCTGACCTGGCACCATGTGGAAGTTTTAATAAGCGTTTGCTGGGTGGATGGCTGAATGATGGGTTTGTTTAGAGGGCTTATAACTTTGCATTCCTTAGGAGTTTGTTGACAGAGGAAAAAGAGCCATGTTTTGGTTCAGAACACCAGATATGTACCGGAACTTGGAGTCAGGACCTTCTAAGTGTTTGTTTGTATACTATTTTTAAATCGGGTTTTGAAGTATTTATAGACAGACTTGAAGATGGAGAGCCTCCCTGGTGCCCAAGAATGAGAGTTTTAGGTCAGAAAACAAATATATTAAGTTTACAGTTGAACTGAAGACTAATCGGATAAGGAGAAGAAAGAAAGAAAGAAGGAAAGAAAGAAAGAGAGAGAGAGAGAGAGAGAGAGAGAAAGAAAGAAAGAAAGAAGGAAAGAAAGAGAGAGAGAGAGAGAGAGAGAGAGAGAAAGAAAGAAAGAAAGAAAGAAAGAAAGAAAGAAAGAAAGAAAGAAAGAAAGAAAGAAAGAAAGAAAGAAAGAGAAAGAAAGAAACTCACCATTACCAAAGTGGCTGTGGGTGAACTTGACATACACAAATGGGTCTGCCCCAGACTTCTCTCCCGCACGGCCATAGCTGCAGAAATCAGAGATGCAGAGAGTTTGGGCTGATACCGTAACCTGTATGAGGCATTTCCCACTTCCCAAAATAGACTTGATGCATATGTATGCATCATTGTTTAGTGTCAACATCGATTTGATGAGTGTACCAGCTGAATCTTATAAAAGGATGGCTTTTTATTTAAAAAGTGGCTTTTTAAATAAAAAGTGGCTTTTTATTTATAAGTGGCTTTTTATTTAAAAATGTGTAAAAAAGAGAAGAGGCGCTGCCGTGGGTGCTGTGGTCCTCACTCCACATCCCCGTGGCCCACCTGATGTCAACGCAGCCATTCGTGGTGGGCGGTTGTCACCATTGCACCTGGCCGGGCACACTGCAGATGCCTGCCCCGGTTTCTCAGAAGTCAGGTGAGGACTTAGCCCACGTGCAGGGGCAGCCCAAAAGTTCGTGGGCATTGATACCTACCTCCAGGGCATCCTTCAGCCAGTGGGTGACAGGAGTTAGTAGATAAGGCACACTCTACGCAGGACCTCAGAGGGGCTTCTGTGGGGCTGGGCCCCAGGGGGCCACCGTGATAACCAGCTGAACCTCACACACATTACTGACTGTTCTCCCTCCCCTTCCCCAACCGCTGTCCCTCATTTCTAGGTCCTGGGGTCACCTTCCAGGTAAACGACCTGCTCCCAAATCCTCATGCCCCAGCTCTGGTTCCTTAAACAGGCTCTAAAGAATGATGTTTTAGATCAAGACAAAACGCCTTGTCCCTGGAATCGAGGGCTGGCAGAGAAATAACTGACCAGCCAGCCATAAGCTCTGAAACTGTGATATTTAGGAAAACAGCATTTCCAGAATGAATGATTTCTCTCTGGCACTTTAACTGTGAGTCTCATGAAGGCTGTGTGTCACCCTCCGGATCTCACGCCTTGCCTTTCCCCTGTGTTCTCTGCAGATTCTTCTGGAAAGCCTCAACTCACCAAGTGCCGTTCACCTGAACTAGAGACTTTTTCATGCCACTGGACAGATGGGGGCCGTCGAGGCTTCGAGAGCCCAGGACTCACGCAGCTGTTCTACATTAGAAGGTGCGGCCCCTGCCTTTCTGGCCTTTATCTCCTAGACCTTCTGACTGAGGTGTGCTGGTCCCGTGCAGCAATAGGAATTGATGGCCCAAGTGGGTTCATTCATTGCTTCATTCAAAAACTATTAAGGAAGCCCCTGCTTTGTGCTGGGTACTATTTTAGACACCGAGATACAGCGGCGATTACAAAAAGATGAGGTCCCTGGTCTCATGGCGAGTCATCTTCAATGAGGGAAGACAGACGTTAAAAAATTAAAAAGTAAAATGTCAGCGGGTGATATGGTTTATTAAGAAAAGTTAAGCCAGAAAGAGGATAGTGTGTCAGCGCTCTGTGTGAATCCATGCGTGTGCATGAGAGTGTGAGGGTCAGTGTGTGGAAGTCTGAGTGCCTGTGTGTGTGAATATGCTTGAGTGTACGGGTAAGTGTGTAGATGTGGCAAGTGTGCGTGAGTGTGTACAGGGAGTTTGGTGATATTCTACGTGAGGAGGTCATAGGAGGCCTCTCTCTCGTGTGATACCTCAGAGCAGAGACAGTGTGAACTGCGAGAGGCCCCAGGGGAGTCCGGGGAAGGTGCACGTGCAAAGGCCCTGAGGCCGACGCGGCAGGTTGCGGAGAGCAGGCGGCCCGCGCAATGGTGCAGGGCAGCACGGGAGCGTGCTGTGAGAAGGGGGTGGGGGAGTCAGCCAGGCCGGACTGTGCCGGGCCTGGAGGCTGTGGGTGGGCTTTGAATTTCCTTTGTCTGTAGTGGGAAGTCATAGGGGGTTTTTGTAAAGAGGTATGTTTTCCAGTTCGAGTCCCAGTCAGGGCACATGCCTGGGTTGCAGGCCAGGTTGCCAGTAGGGGGTGCTACAGAGACAACCATGCATTGAAAAGATCTATGTTTTAAAAGACTCAGTTTGGTTTCTACATAGAAAATAGACCACATTCCTGTTAAATTAAATAATTCAATAACGGACTATGACACTTTTCTATCCATTTTTACCAGCCGTCCTTCAATATAACAGGGGACGAGTGAAGCAAAGATCTCTTAGTATCGTCACCACCCGAGTCTTTTATTTCACCTGACATTATTTCCATGTCTTTACTTAGATGTTGAACCTGTGTGCTTTTTTAAAGTTTGGGGCTTACACACGGTGTCATCTCCTCTTTTCTCCCCAAACCCCAGGGAAGGCCTGAGAAAGGTACAGGGTTAGCAGGGACGCCTTCTTCTAGCCTGGCGGTGTTCAGCGGTCCCCGGGTGACGCTGTCCACCCCACACGAGAGCGGGAGAGGGACACAAGGTGCAGCAAGCAGTGAAGGACATGCGCTCAGGGCCAAGGAACCTGCGTTTGGGCCTGGCTCTGACATCACTTGCTGAGCTGATGGGCCAATCTGTCCACAGCTCAGCCGCCTCAGTTGCAACAGGGAGCTAATAGACCTTGCCTGGTGGCCTCCAGTGAGGGTTTATTAGCTAACACGTGAAAATCACTTAGCATAGCGCTTAGCACACAGTAAACACACAATCCATGGTAACCGCCTATTTTCATTGTTGGTAGTACAAGAATAATTTAAAATAATAATGATGTAAAGTTCCAGTTCAGGGCCACACAACTGATTTTGATTCTTTATATCCTGTAAGAACATCTTGCATGCAGAGCTGGGTGCTTGATTTGCAAATACGATAGACTCGGAGTGCGCCGCCAGGACTACTGGCCTTACCTGCCTTTCCAGGGGTGAGAGCGGTCTCTTGGCTGTCCCCCGCGCTGGAGGGCACACAAAGATGAGGTGGTTGGGTACCAAATGCACTTCTTTTTGCTGACACTGCAGAGAAGTAGGGTCAGTGGACAAGCGGGTTTGCATTTGGGACAGGAAGCGAAAATGTTTGGTAACACTTTCGAGTGTCTGTTGATTGACTGTTACATGGAGGACGGGACTAGTGGGTTCGGTCCTCGCCTTAGGCTTCGGCACCCGAAAGCCAGGTCGGTCAAAACGGGGGGCTGGCTTTCCCCGGGCCCCGCTGACGAAGTGAGAAGTGACCAGAGCAACGGCGGAGCCCGGCCCACTTTACAGAAACAGGTTTCCGCCGCCCTAGTACTTGCCAAGTTTAAACCTGGGCAGGAAGACAAATCCCCAGGTGTGAAGCCGTCACAAAGACACATGTGTCCCCTTCCCTGATGCACCAGGGCCACGGACCTTGGCCTCCGAGCCTCCCCTGCCCGAGCCAGGCCTTCCGAGTTCTGGTCCCAGCCCAGGCTCTGTGTCGGCGGAGAGGCCCCGGGAGTGCGGCCGGGTGGGGGGAAACCTCGGACAATGTGCAAAAGGATGCCATCAGTTTGGGCCCCGGTGGAGTTTGGGGTCCCAGGGGAAAAAATCGTCACCTCCTCAAACCCCCAAAGTACAATCTCACAATTAGTGCCAATCGAAATTGGCTAAAGTCAGCCTTTTGTGGGGTTTTTTTTTTCCTATAAAAATGTAATTAAGTGGACGATCTCCGCCAAAACAGCATGCGCCCCCACCCAGTCTATCTGGGAAGGGCAGGAGCGGAGGGTTAGACGTGTCGCACTGGGACCAGACGGCCCCACGCACGCAGTGTGCAGGCATGCCGGACTCGGCCTTGTGCACTTGCACAAAGAGGACCGTGCCCGTGCCCTTTGTGACTTACTTTAAAATCTTTTTCCTACTGTAAATGTACACACACAGAGAGAGACACACACACACACTGTTTACCCTAGCTTCTCCCCTCTACCCACATTTTTCCCATCAGGGAGGAACTGTCCTCTCGTCCAAGGGTATGCAACTTAGATTTTAAGAATCTTAGCCAGAACTTAAGCAACACTTCCCTGTCTTGGACCCTGGGGTTTCTGCCACTTGAATTCCAGTTTCTTCCAACAGCTGATGAACAGCTGTCCCAAGGATCTCCCGATATTGCACAAGTTTCTTCCTGAGAAACAGCTGGAAAGAAGGGCGTGTGTGTCTCCCCCAAGTCCCTGCCTTTCCCATAGTCCCCAGAGGGAGCTCACACCACCCCCGCCCCTCGGCCCCTGGCCCCGGGTCTGCACAGGGTCCTTCCCGCTGCCTGTTTCCTCCGCCACACGGTTACCTGGCTTTACACCTCCCTGACTCATAAACCCTCTACTCAAGCAGATAGCCTAATGAGTGATAAGGAAATAAGGAATCACTCCACCCGAGCAGCAATTCTAACTGGAGAAGGCCTCCCCCAATGATCCTATTGCCTGCCGCTCCGCTCACCATGCTCGAACCCATACTTCTTATATCAGTGCCTTTGGCCCCTCTGTCCCCTCCTTTCCTTTCCCTGTTGCCGTCTATTAAACTTCACCGATCCTTCACGACTGCTAGAAACACCACCTCCATCTCGAAGCCTTCCATGAACAACCAGAACAAGCATCGCCTCTTCTGAGCACCATCTGGAAGCGCTTACCCACACTGCTGTGCACAAGTTTTCTCAGCATACCCCTAAGCCCACAGTGATTCCTGAGACCCATGTGAATCCCGCATGATGCCTAGCGCAGGGTTCTACTGCAACCAGCGCTTCCTAAGTATCAAGGGAACAAATGCAGGAAGCCAAAAAAGTGCTGGGATTGTAATTTCTGAGTCTTTTTCTAGCCTGAAGACAGGAACCAAATGTTAATGTTAATTCTATCTTCCCAGGGCTCATGCTGGGTGCACCGCTTATAAGGTGCTTACAGAGCAGGCTCCCAGAGATCACTCACTGGATTCACTCACTCAGGCAGGCAGATGGGACTTGGCGGAGCTGTGTCACACTCTGTCATGTGTTTGCTCTGTTTCTGCTCAGGGGGGTTGGGGAGCGGTGCTTGAACTTGACTCTGAGTGATGGATCTCGTCATTGCTCTGTGTTTTTGTTCAGGTCCCCATGGCAACAGAGCAGGGAATTGCCTTTCCCTGAACTCTGACTTCCTTCCGCAGGGACCGTCCTGGCATCTCCCTTCCATCCAGCACACACCCTGCTGTGGTTCAAAGTCACCTGCACAGACGACGCGTTCTGGAGAGCAGGGCAGAGAGGAGTAACTAGGGCAGAACGTCACCGTGGACACGCGGTTGGTCTGACGAGCTCCGTGTTCCCCGTGTGGCCATCCACCTGCCGGGGTTCATTTTGTTTCCTGCTTGTTTTTTTTTTAAGGTTTTATTTATTTATTTTTAGAGAGGGAAGGGAGGGAGATAGAGAGAGAGAGAGAAACATCAATGTGCGGTTGCTGGGGGCCATGGCCTGCAACCCAGGCATGTGCCCTGGCTGGGAATCGAACCTGCAATGCTTTGGTTCACAGCCCATGCTCAGGGCTTGTTTCCTGCTTGTTTTTATCGGATCTGAGATCTAGGAAGAGAGGAGCTTGTTCTTTGTAGAAAAACCAAACAGGAACTCGTCAGCAAGCCTGTTGATTCCCTTCAGCTTGTGTTTACGTCTCCTTTTTTTCTGTATCCTATAATTAAGTGTCCCTGTCTAGTTACAAAATAGAAGAGAAAAATTCTTTCTGGGTTTGGTGAGAGTTTTGAATTTCTGGGTTCATTGCCTTTCGTCTCCTACAGGGGTTGGGAAGAAAAGGCTAGGATTTCACGTTTCATACATATCACTGGGATGTCCCGCATGTTTGAAATGTCCTCCTGGCTCTTCATGTAATTAAAGAAAAAAATCAGAAGTATGAGGAGGAGTTCGAAGCCTGAGGAAAATTCCCCCAAGCACAGGACACCCATGGGGAGGCAGATATGGCATACGGTGGTTCGGAGTGGGGCGGTGACCGATTTCCCCCCTCAGGACCCCCCACCCGCACGTTAGTGTCACTCAGCCTGGACAACCCCAGCAGCATGCCTTGGCCCCTCCCCCGTGGGCTGGAGAAACACCGGGGTCTAGAGACTCACTGCTCTCTGGGAATCTCTGCCGTTTGCGAGTTGACTGTGTATCGTGTTTCAACAAAGGCCCTTGTTCAACCTCCCTAAGCCTCCCTTGCAGAGTGTGGATAACAACAGGGCGCCTACCACCGAGTCACCTCATTTAGGAGCCGGCCCGTCACGTGCAGTCAGTGAGCAGGTGGTTCCCCGGTAGGCAGCAGTACCAGATGGTCACATGCAGTCAGTGAGCAGGTGGTTCCCCGGGAGGCAGCAGTAGCAGCAGACGGCCCCGCTGGGTCTGCAGACCCTGGCGGAACCCACCAACGTGAGACCTCCCGGGAACACGTGCTCGCAAATGCCTGTGTTCTGGTTTGTGGGCTCTGACTGCCAGGCCCCTCGCTTAGACTCCTGCTGTGGCCTGCGTTGGGAAGAGCTCACCCTTTTCTACCCTCCCTTTCAGGAACACTCAAGAATGGACTCAAGAATGGACTCAGGAATGGAAAGAATGCCCCGATTACGTCACCGCTGGAGCAAACAGCTGTTACTTTAACGCATCCTATACCTCCATCTGGACGCCCTACTGCATCAAGCTCACCAGCCTCGGGGGGACTCTGGATCAGAAGTGCTTCTCTGTTGAGGAAATAGGTAAATCACAGGTTTGTGTTTCCCTCGCCCTGGCTTCGGACGAACTAGGTGGGAAGTCTGCGGCGCCCAGGTGCACTCAAGTAGGAAGGCTCCGTCATTGTGCCCGAGGGGCACAATGCCGTGCCTGAGGGGACGGAAGGCCACTTGACAGGGCGTGAGGTCAGCGGCTGAACTGGAGGCCAAGGGCAGGGGGAGCTAAGTCGGCTTTAAGGAAAACAAATGTGGCCGTGAATGTGGTAAAGAAAAGACGGGGAGCCTGGTGGGGTCTTCCTGGAGGAGGTCTTTAAGCTGGATTGTGTTCCTGAGTGCCACTGCAGGGCCGACTCAGGGTGCCCCTAAGTGTCCTTCTCTTCTAATTATTCGGTGTGATTATTATATTCCTAACCACCGAAATACTTTGGCCTTGGTCTCTGTCGTTTCTCTAATAAATGCTTAGGTTCCCTTTATCACAAAGCACGATCACTCTGGGGTTTTTCATTTACAAAACAGCCCAAATCAGTTCAAAGACGTGTTTATAAAATCTCGAGACAAACGTGGGAGATAATCAGCTCAAGGAACTAAGTCAGAGATCCGAACAGCTTATCCCTTGCCCAACATGTGCACGCAGGGGAAATGGAACAAAGGAAAACAAACAGCTATAATTGGAATGTTCGTGTTTAAACTGGACTAGTATAAACAGCTAAACATAAAAAAAATCAAAGAGGGACTCTGAATAGCTGGCGCTAGTTCCTCACATCTATCCACAAAGGCCCGGTTGCTGCGTAGAGGGATTCCTTGGAGCTTCTCTTGGACGGGCTGTCCCCCTATGTGGTTGTCCAGGCATCAGAAGACTGGGAGAGACAGACAGGAGCTAGGAGCCTCAGATAAGAGAAGTAGATCTGATAACCTCACTTGGAGGGCCAAGACAGAGAAAACTGAACAAGTACAAAAGCAAACCCAACTACCTAGTTGAGCGAGACTGTGGAGATATCCTGACACCTGCAGGTGCGGCTGTTGAGTGGCTCAACAGGTAGTAGTAAGAATACTGGGTCCAGACCCATGTTCTGACCCTGTCTCTGCCACCTGCCAGCCCCGCTGCTGTCCCTGGCTGTCCCTGAGTGTCTGCCGTGAACCGGGCACTGTTCTGCGCTTTGTCCCGGTGTGGTGGCTACAGGATGAGAAAGAGGCAGTCAAGTTGGGAGTCAGAGGTGTTAATGAGTAATTTGCAATAAGCAATAAATAATAAATAGTTGCAGCAAACCCAGGGAAGAGGGTTGTTTCTGTCAACATGTGGCATTTGTAGCTTAGCTATTTTACAAATCACTCCAATTTCTTTTTTAAAATATATTTTATTGATTACACTATTATACTTGTCCCAATATTTCCTCCCTTCCCCCTCCGCCCCCCAACCAGTACCCCCATTCCCTCCAGCAATCCCCGCCCTTAGTTCATGTCCATGGGTCATGCATGTAAGTTCTTTGGCTTCTCCATTTCCTATACTGTTCTTAACCTCCCTCTGTCTGTATTGTGCCTACCAATTATGCTTCTTATTCCCTGTACTTTTCCCCCCATTCTCCCCCTTCCCCCTTCCCACTGATAACCCTCCATGTGATCTCCATATCTATGATTCTGTTACTGTTCTGCTTGTTTGCTTAGTTTGTTGTTTAGATTCAGTTGTTGATGGTTGTGGATTTACTGTCATTTTAATGTTCATAATTTTTATCTTTTTTTGTATAATTCCGTTTAACATTTCATATAATAATGACTTGGTGATGATGAACTCCTTTAGTTTTATCTTGTCTGGAAAGCACTTTATCTCCCCTTTAAATGATAGCTTTGCTGGATAGAGTAATCTTGGTTATAGGTCCTTGCTTTTCATCTCTTTGAATACTTCTTGCCAGTCCCTTCTAGTCTGCAAAGTTTCCTTTGAGAGATCAGCTGACATCCTTATGGGAACTCCTTTGTAGGTAACTCTCTGCTTTCCTCTTGCTGCTTTTAAGATTCTCTCTTTATCTTTAACCTTTGGCATTTTAGTTATGATGTGTCTTGGTGTGGTCTTCTTTGGGTCCATCTTGCTTGGGACTCTGTGCTTCCAGGACTTGTGTGTCTGTTTTCTTCACCAAATTAGGGAAGTTTTCTGTCATTATTTTTTCCAAATAAGTTTTCAATCTCTTGTTCTTCCTCTTCTTCTTCTGGGACCTCTATGATTCGGATGGTAGTACATGTGAAGATGTCCCGGAGGCTCCTTAGCCTATCCTCATTTTTTTTAATTCTTTTTTCTTCTAGCTGTTCTGATTGAATGCTTTTCTCTTCTTCGTGTTTCAAATCTTCGACTTGATTCTTGGCTTCATCCCCTCCACAGTTGGTTCCCCGTGGATTTTTCATTATTTCACTTAATGTAACCTTCGTTTCTGCCTGAGTCATTTTTATGCTGTTAAACTACCCACTGAGCTCCTGGAGCATCCTGATCACCAGTGTTTTGAACTCTGCATCTGATAGGTTGCTTATCTCCATTTCATTTAGTTCTTTTTCTGGAGTTTTGTTTTCTTTCACTTGGGCCATATTTCTTTGTCTCTGCATTTTGGCAGCCTCCCTGTGTTTGTTTCTGTGTGTTAGGTGGAGCTGCTTTGATTCCCTGTCTTAGTAGCGTGGCCTATTGTAGAAAAGCACACCTGAAAGTTGTATAGGGTGGAGCCTTAGGTAATTGTCAGGGCAGGGCAACCTGCATCACCGCTCTGTGGCTCTGTGCAGGGGAGGGCTCAGAGAGGGGACAATGCCACTGCCTGGCCTCTAGAGTTTTGCCCAGGAGGATGCCATCTCCTGGCACTTGCCCTAATGCCAGTCACCTCAGTTTCTGCCCATATTGCCACTGGTGCCCTTCCAACTATTGCCTTGGTGCTGAATCCCAGAAGGAGTGGGCCTGTGTAAGTCCTAAGTCAGTTGTGGACCCTTAAGAGGAGTCTTCTGTGAATCCTGGCATTTCTTCTGCCACCCCAACCCCTACTGCTTTTTACAGCCAGAAATTATGGGGACTTGCCTTCCAGTGCTGGAACCCTGGGCTGGGTGGTCCAATCTGGGGCTGGGATCTCTTGCTCCCAAGGTATCCCTCCCAATTTTTATCCACTACATGTGGACATGGGACCAAACATTTTGCATTTCCATGCCTCTCTCTGTGTCTCCGTGTCTCTGCCCCTCCTACCCATTTGGCTGAACGTGGCTTCCTTAAACCCTTGGTGGTCGGACTTTCATGCAGCTTGATTTTCTGACATTTCTGGGTGGTGTTTGTTTTGTAGTCTAGTTGTCATTTCTGCTGTCATTGTGCAAGGATTCAAGGCATGTTTACCTACGCCTCCATCTTGACCAGCGGCCAAATCACTCCAATTTCATTTCCCCAGATGTAGTCAGGATGAGTCAAATTTGGACTGTCCCTGTTGTTTTTTAAGAAGTGGTGTTCACTGTGGTCACAGTGGCCAGCAACATGCCCCTCCACAGTGTTTCAGCGTGGGTTGACTAGAAGAGCTCCCCGGTTTGGCCCCCAGATTTTAACAGCCAGCAAAGGCTCCTCCTCACAGTGCGTGTTTGGGGGCTTATCTCTGATCAACCCTGGGGACCTTCTCCATGTCATAGAAAAGAAAGTAAATTTTACTCTGCATCTGCATATAATTTTCAAAAACCTCAGTACTGAGACCAAATGGCAGTAATGTATTGGGAACTCTCTAAAATATAAATTTAGATACAGCTCCTAGCTTCGGAATCCATATTTCTCTTCATCAGCCTTTGGGAAGTTGTGGTCTTTATGGTCACAGTTGTACCTGGGAATGTAGGTAGATCAGCAGAAAGCAAGCAGAACGCTGTTGTCCATCGCTCACATCCAGTTTAAGTGAAAGAAAACCCTTTGAGGGAGCGGTGTGATGCCTCCCTTCTTGGGTCTGAAGACCCCGTGTGGCTGGGAAGACACCCAGCCAAGGAGCACCTGCTGAGAGTTGGGAAGGACTGTGCTGGTAGCAGCACAGAAGTGAGTGAGCCGAGGTCCTTGCCCCAGGTGAGGAACGGTTTGGGAGAAAAAGGATTTCTCTGTCCCTGGTTCCAAAACAGCCCCGTGTTTAACTGCCATGGGGCTGTCTGACTCTCTGTCCCTCAGTGACAATCACTTCCTTGGCCAAGTCCCAAAGCATGAATTCTATCACAGCTACAAGAAATGTAAAACATAAGCAATCTTTAAGAACAGTGATAGATCAGATTTTAGGCTCAAAAAGCAATGTTTCCAGGGGGTTTTTTTAGAAGTAAACACAGATCATCCTGAAGTTAAAAAAAATGGTACTCTTACAAAGTGAGAATATGCTGATAGCACTATTAGGAGAGGTAAAGAGTATGAGTAATAAAAATGTACGAAGTAATGTGGTCTCTTCAGAAGAAAGCATCCCATCGCTGTGCAGCTGTGTGTCTCTGTGCACTAATTCTCCTTTGAAACGCACAGTGCAACCAGATCCACCCACTGGCCTCAACTGGACGCTGCTGAACATCAGCCTAACGGGGATTCACGCGGATATCCAAGTGAGATGGGAACCGCCATCCAATGCCGACGTTCAGAAGGGATGGATAGTCCTGGAGTATGAGCTGCAGTACAAGGAAATAAATGAGACCCAGTGGAAAACGGTAAGGCATCGTTGCCCATCACGCTTTAAATCTTCTGAATTGTCTTTTTTTTTTATTCTAACGCCCCTCTTGTTTATGGACTTCCTTTGGACCTAGCACCGCAGGCTCACACGATGTGCCCCATCGTTTCTTATTTGAGGAAGTCTGGTCAGTAAAAGATCGTCTTAGAGTTCGGTCCAGTGGCAGACGCTTCCCTGGAGTGGACATGGGAGCGTCTGGAAGGGAAGGAAGACTTCCCCCCCAGTCCTCCTTGGTGTCCAGTTTAACTTTAGAACAAAACTGTGCACTTGAGCCACTGTGGGGCTGTGGCTAAACATGGGAAGGGTTATGGTCAAGGTCAACAGTGAGCCACGGCTAAATATTCTCCCATGATTTTAGTTGCTGCTGCTCACAAGACCTTCATTAAAATAAAGTCTTAAGCGACTCCAGGAGGAAATTCGCCCTATGGAGGTTTCGGAAGTGTAGTTTGTCAAGCCTGCCCAGGGGCATCCACGCTGAGTGGTTTTGAAGTCTGCGAGGAACACGGTCCCGGCTGACCTCTGCCCTCCTCCTTTCCTCGCCAAGTGCATGGGAACTGGGCACTGGGATCAATGCCACACGGCACACAACAAGAAGAAAAACAGGATTAGCGCACTGCTCCCCATATAACAAAGTCTAAATCAGTCTGACCACAGCCGCGGCCCCGGCCAAGCCCAGCCGTTTCTGGCCAGGCATCACGTCAGGCCCAGCAGCTGGCACAGCCGCGCTCCCGGCTCGGGAGAGACACTGGGCCCTGTCCATTCAGTGAGTGGCTGAGAAAGAAGCCGACGCTGCCGTTCGAAGAAAAGCCAAGTTTGCAGCCGCTCTGAGCAGTGGGATACTGGGCTTTGAGGCTCTGTGTGCAGCCTCATATTAATTTAGCTATCTGTTCTGCAACTTGGGGTAGTACACACAGCGTGTTTGGATGCTGAGTCAAACAAGACGTTCTAAATACAAGCTGGTCACACGTTTCTGCAGCCAGCGGGTATTGAAATAGCCGCTGTGCGCAAGGATGGTGCCCAGTACCCCAGGGCGGCTATGCTCAAGGTGTGAACCAGGGATCCCTGAGGGTCCCGAAGACCCTGCCAGGGGGTCTGCAAGGTCAAGGCTGTTTTCATAGCAGTACTAAAATGTTATTTCCTTTCTTGGCCGTGTCGAGATTTGCCCTGATAGTGCAAAAGCCACAGTGGGGAAACTGAGGCTGCCTTGGCATAGACTGAGGTAGTAACACAGCCTGGTACTGGCAGGCACTGAATTCTTCACCTCTGAACATTGGGGGGGGCAGGGATGCAGAGCCAGTTTCACATGAGAGTGCCCTTGATGAAGCTGTGGAAATTACTGATCTTGTTACAGCTCAACCTTTTTAATATTCAGTGTGACATATGGCAAGTCCACACACAGCTGCATGGGGGCTGACGGTGGTCTTGAGAAAAAGCACTGAAACAGCGGGTTGCCCACGGAACCCGCCGCCTTCTGCATGGAGCACCATGCGGAGCGCTAGTGTCACCTGAAGGAACTACTGATTAACTGATACATCATAATCCATGTAAAAAAATTAAGTAAGCTTATTACTTTAAGAAAAACAAGTGGTAGTATTTGTTGCCAGTGAAAAAGTGTGAGCTTTCAAGGGAAAATTAGGATTTCGGACAGCTTGTGTAACTACGCACTTGATGGCTTCCTTATCTTGGAAGGCACTTCTGTTGAGTTCAGTGGTGATGCTGTCAGCAAAGGTGCTTCTTTTTAGGCTGCATAATAAACTGTGTGTACGTTTAGAACATCTGCATAACTCGGTGAACCAGTACTTTCCAAATGACCCATACGTGATATAGCCAGAATTGCACACAGGGAGATAATACATCCAGGTACTAGATGGAGGAGTGGAGGATTTTAATGTAACAGCATGCAAAAGAGTCATTGATCAGTTTCCGATTCCACATTGCAACTAACCTTTAAGAAAACACCACTTACTGAGCTTGAGTGTTGATGTTAAAAAACATCCACAATTATCTGAAAAAGCTATGAAGATATCCTTCCTTTTCCTCATTATATATCTGTGTGAGGCCAGGTTTCATTCATGCCCTTCAGCCAGAACAACACATCCTAACGGACTGAGTTCAGAAGCAGCTGTAAAAATACAGCCATGTTCTACTAAGCCAGACATGAAAGAGATTTGCAAAAATATAAAATAATGTCACTCTTTTCACTACAATTTTATTGTTTTGGGAAGTACAATAATTTTAATAAAAATGTTCCCATACAATCAATTTATTTTAAAACTAGCATTTTTCAATATTCTCAATTTCAGTTTCTAATATAGAAAATAGCCATTGGTATAATCCAAATAAACCAAATATTTATGATTAACAATCATTTTTAAGTGTCAAAGAATCCTCCTGACACCGAAATGTTTTGTTGACGGGAGAGACCTGGTTCTTCTTGCTGACGCATGTAAAGAATTACAGATCAGCAAATCTATTAGTGTGCAATCAGTTTATTAGTGACCCGTTCCCATGGAAGAGAATGGAACTAGCTAGAGTCGGGGGTGAAAGGCAAAGTGTCAGGGCAAAGCAGGGCGGCAAAAGTAAGAGCAGCTGGAGACCAGGGTGGCAAGCCCCCGGGCGGCCTGAGGCTGAGTGGCCAGAGGTCTGGTGGCCCCAGAGTCAAGAGCACCCCAATCCCCCAGGAGAGAGAGAGAGAGTCCTTTGTTTTGAGGACTTACAGTTGGCGGGATATGAGAAAAAAACTTACATATTGATTAATGGGTAACTGTGGTGCCCACTCTCCTGGGGGTATGTGACAACCTAAACTTAGGTATGTGTGGGGGTCTGTTAGCCAGAATCCTTATCTTGCTCCAGACTCCATTTGTTTACCTTGTTGTGAAACAGATACGTGACAGGAGGCAGTTCATTAAAATTGGGGCACTTTCCAAAGTTATCAATGGGCTCTTTCTGTACACATCAGGGACTCCCTCGTAAAGCAGTGACCAGAGGTAGACAATTAACCAGAGTTGTTTTGTGAGCTTCTTCTTTGGGCACCGGGACCCTCTCCCGCAGTCCAGGCCCTGGGGTGAAAGCACGGTTTCAAGGCTTTCTCTCCCAGACAGTGGAAATGCCACAGAATTTCAAGGACTTCCCTTCTTGCTTAATGTAGTGTTTCTTGTGATATTGGAACACCTGGCAATATTATCAGACCAGGCTCAGGGCTACTGAGTTAGCATGTGAGACATGTCTCCTTCCCCCTCCCTGCCTCAGTTTACTATTTATTCGACATAAGTGGTAAAAGGTGTTTCCTGGCAACCAGGATGCCAGACGCTGGCCAGTCACAGCTGTGCAGTGTCAGGGCTCTTCCTATGCTGTCTCCTGCCTCAGTGCGACAAGCTACAAAAAGCAAGATTTAAATCAGAACGTTCACATTCATGCATGTTCTGATCCTAGTTTCAAGCCTGAAAGACCCTGGCCTGTAGTGATGTCTCAGCCGAGACACAGGTATGTATGCATGTCACACCTGAGCCAGGTGCGTGGGGGCGTGGCACTCACTCAGCTGACCATGCAGAGCGGCCTCCCCACCTGGCCCTGTTGCAGTCCTCACCGTGCCCTGCTGAAAGTCACATTGGATGGTGCACAGGGGTCAGTTCATGTTCACGGGCCTTCTGTGAGTGCAGTTACGTGTTTATAGTATTTATAAGTTTGGTCATTTGCAAGGGTCGCAGTGTCGTCATAAGAATTGACCTCTCTCGGGAAGACGGTCACCATCGAACTGGCTGTGAGCAGACGTGTCATAAGCGTAAAAAGAAGGAAAGTTTGGAAGCAGAAGGAGAAAAAGCTAGTGTCCGTTGCTTAGATCAGATTCTTGTTACCATTCGGCAATATGGAATTTGGTAGTGTTGTGTCTTTTTTTTAATTAAGTACATTTTTTTAATATAAAAGTGACACTAATGAGCATGTAGTTACTTACACTGTTTACCTGCTAAACCAAGTTAAGAATTCATGGTGTTTTCAGGACTTCATGGGTGGCATATAGTTATCTACTTGCTCGCCTGCCTTAAAGACTCTGCAGTTTAACACAGACACCTGAGCAGGAAATACAGAAAGTCGTGCAGGACGTGCAGTATCTGGCAGGATGGAATAGGGGACAGTGGCCAGAAAGACTTCTCAGGGTTGCAGCAAACTCGCACTGCGGGCCGGCCAAGGGCAGGCGCGTGGGCAGGCGGCCGAGCTCAGCGTGGGGCTGTGGAGGGATCGGAGAGGGTGGGGAGGGGCCGCGGCGTGAATCCCCGAGACCCCCTTCCTGGCTTTGTTATTAGTGAAAATCTGTAGAGAAATGACATCGGTGACAATAACAGAGGAATTAGGGCTTTAAGAATGAAAACATGGACCTTTAAAATATTTTAAGAAAAATAGTAAGTTTAATATTCCAAATTCTACATTTTAAAAAAAAAAAAGCATTTAGGCGTGCAGATGCTCCATAGATTAAGAGGCTCCTTTAAACAATGCAAAATTCCCATCCCATCCCATGTACACACGGTGGCAGGGGGGAGACACTTTCTGAGCAGAAACGAACTGAGGTGAGAGGAAAATCGGTTTCAGAAGCTGAAGGTCCAGCTTCTGACTTGGCAAAACAAACTGTGAGGTCTTGTTTATGTGAAAGGGCGATGCTGTGGAAAAAAGTGAGGGCTCCTAGTTTCTTACAAACAGGAACAAGGTGTTCTACCAGAACACGCAGGAAACGCACGTGTTGACTACTCAGTTTGAATATTTGCCTTAAAGGAAAACCCCCTCATTAATCCGGTCCCCTTCCTGGATAGCAAACGTTTTCAAAGTCTCATAGCCTCACCTGCCCTTCCCCTGGAAGGTAAAAGAATATCCTGGCCGTAAGGGTTGTGGGAGCACAGGGACTCCTGCGACTTCTTTTTGCAGATTTTGAACAGCAAATAGTTTTGAGGTGGCCTTTGAGTCTTCTAGAACAAGCAGACTATGTATGTAGATGCTTCTAACAGAGTTATTTCAAAGTTCGGTTAAGACAACTGTGGATTTTCCTAGGGCCCCTCCTAATTCTCTGGTCATATGTATGACCACCCAGAATTTCCAAAGAATGACTAGAATTTGTTTTGATGTGAAATACGTTTGTTTTTTTCTGTTTTTGTGTCTCCATACAAAATTGTGATATCCCTAAGGGTAAGCGATATTTCCTTTACAGTTCTGTTATTTTTCCATAGTAATTTATTATGCTTTGATCTTAGAATTTTGACATCCTAACTTAAAGGTACGGCTGCATTTCTGTAGAAGTCTATCAAGTCTCTAGCATGTACCAAAATAAGTTTGAGGCCTATTATTCATGTAACATATTTTCCTTGATTTTTCCTGAAATAGCCCTCTCCAGTGCATTTGCAAACCTTACCTACTTTGCACAATTCCTTTGGAGAACAGAGGCAGGCACACCTTTTGGAGCCTGTGGCCCTGAGTGTCGGCTCTCTAACCAGTACGTGCTCTGCTCTGTCTCGAAAGATGGACCCCGTGGCGTCGACCTCCGTGCCAGTGTACTCGCTGCGCCTGGACAAGGAGTACGAAGTGCGCGTGCGGTCGCGGCAGCGGAACTCCGACAAGTACGGCGAGTTCAGCGAGGTGCTCTGCGTCACGCTTCCTCAGACCAGCCCACTGCCGTGTGAGGAAGGTAGGAATAAAAAAGACCGCCGCGGCGGCCCACGCGGCTTTTCTCAGTGTGCGGTGACCCAGTCCCCGCGCTGTGCGCGCGGTGGCCGGATCGGGGTATCCCCGCATCCCAGGTTGGGGTCAGGGACCCCGCGCTCGCTCTCTGTAACAGGCTTTATCCACTGAAAAGCAGGAGGATGACTTAGTGTTTGAATTATTTAATTCAAGAAGAGTCCTGGGGGGAAGTGCAGGTTACAGAGGGGTTACCTCTAGATATCAGCGTTTCCGGTGATTCTTTCTTGACATGTTTCTGTCGTTCTAAAATGGTCTACAATGACTTGTTTGCACTTATAATTGGCATAAAGTGTTTTTCAGATACACGATGAAAAGACCCTGTATCCCTAAGGATGGATGTGCTCTGTGACTTCTAAGAGAAAGCGGGGTATTGAGTCAGCACAGGTAGTCAGAGACAGGTGCTGGCCGGGTTTAGGAAGTTCAGGCGTGGCTTTTACCTGGCAAAAGCACTAGGCCAGTTATGCCCAAGAATGGCATGGGACATTGGAAGTCCCTGTGTCAGAGAAGTACAAAGATAATTAAAGTTTAAAGAAATGAAACCTGGGAATGCATAATAAAAGAATTAAAGTGCTCAAATACAGCAGTAGAGAAGGCTGCTTAACAACGAATATTAAGGGTATAAAATATTATCACTCCCACGTGAGCACCGGCTGTAGCTCATCTCCATGAAAGACAGGAGGTTGCAAGGCCATGTGAGGAGCTGAGGTTTGTTAGCGGAACAGGCCCAAGCTACGGAGAAATGCACTGTATATTTCTGCGCTGAGGCACAGGTAGAATTCATGATACGAAATAACACTTGAGCCGAAATGCCTGCAACACAGTTTTTTAAGCTCTACCAACAGGCTTGTTATCGCCAACAGTGTGATACAATGAAATTCTGGTTTAAAAAAATACACTTGCCACATACCCTTTAATCTGGTTGTGATGGCATTTAATTCACTTAACACAGTTTTTTTTAACTGACTTTTCTTTCCATGTTGAAAAAAAAAAAAGAAAATGAAGCACCTGCTTTATATTATGTCCCTGGATATGTCATCAGTATAAAACTATAAATGCCACAAGATACAAATGATGTTCTCTCCCCCACTGATCCTTTCTAATGTCCATAATATCTCCCCTGGGGATTTTAATACCTGAACCAGAAAATTAAAATAAGAAAAGAATATTACAGTATAAAAGCCTAGTTTTAATAAAGCGGCACTAAGGTAAATTTCACCTGTCTTTTTCAATTAAAACACAGTTCATCTCTGCCCGTGCGGTAAGAATACTGGGAACCAGCTTGCAGCTCAAGGTGCTTGTTTTTAAGGACTAAGATAGAAGTTTTACAAACAGGCCCCCCCAGGTCTGCTGCAGAGTTGATTCAGGTCTGCGGGAGGAAGGCCCCGCAGTGGTCTCCTGTCCCAGGAGGTTTTTGAAGCTGTAAAAGAATTGCTCTGCCCGTCTAAAACGTCCCAGTCATGTGCCCATACCTTTTCGGTAGCCCCTCCGTCCGGAGGATAAGGAAACATCAGCACACCTTTGTAAAGGAGGAGCCAAGGAGACCTTGTCCAGGTAAAGAGGTGCGCTGGCCAGCAGCACTTGGCTGCAGAGCTGGAGTCTTTCGTGCCATCCCCGGGTCACAGAAAGATGCTCAAAGCAGATTTTTTTCCTTATAACCATGGATTGTGCTCAAGCTTTATTTTTATTTTTTTCTAATGTAAAAGGATTTGAAAAAGTGTTCTTGGCACAGAAAACACTTCTCGATCATTGCCACTCAATGTTCGGGTGGTTATCAAGTGAAATCACTGACTTCCCCGGATGAATACAAATGAGACAATATGAAAGGTAAATGTCAACTCTCCATAACCCTGTCACTGTGAGTGACAGATTGCCTCGTGTGTTTCAGATTTCCAGTTCCCATGGTTCTTTCTCATCTTCTTTGGATTGTTCGGGCTGGCAGTGATACTACTTTTATTCCTGTTTTCTAAACAGCAAAGGTAAGTGTGAGATCATCTACCGTAATGGTTTTGCCAGTTGCTTAGATTTCCACGTGTGCTTTCGTTTGTTATCTGGTGTTTTCTTCTGCGAATCATGAGTGAAAATCTTAATTAACCCAGGAAAACGTTACCTCCAGTTATACATTTACCGCCTTGCTGTGTCCATCCAAGAGAATTCAGAAGTTCTCCTTCTGGCTGAGAAGCTGCCTAGGGCATGAAGAGCTAGGGGCTCGGACTGCACAGCTGGTGCCGTTCCTCCTTAGCCAGCCTCTTTGCCCAGAGCTCCCTCCTCGCCTCCTCAACGTCCTGACCAAGGTGACACGTTGACCTGGGACCCTCGGCAGCCCTGCGACTTTGGCGGTGTGACACGGTCCTCGGCACAGACCAATGGAACTGGCAAACCAAAGCTACCCAGATAAAATCAATCTAATAAAGCCTTTCTAGATTTCCTATGATGGCAATGTCAAATAATTTCAAGTTGTGTTAAATTATTTGGATACTTACCATTTGCTATTTCAATTGCATTTGTCAACACAGCTGAAATTCTCTCTAAGTTTGAAGAGATTCCTTTCTACATTCTTTTGGAGTTCAGAACTAAGATTCCAGGTATTATTCCGCCCCTGTATTTGATCTTGTTTGAGTCCCTTAACCCAGTTGGAGCTCCGTGTTCTCGTGGGTATTATGTGTGATTATGGAACCATTAAATTCCCCTTGAGTTGTAAGATCTGCATTGCTCTTTCTCTTCCTGAAAGAAACTCAGTACAGACTGCAAGAGACTTTAGGATAAAAAATAGAGGTCAATTATTGGTGCTGGTTGCCAGTTTTCTTTTTTTTTAATATATTTTATTGATTATGCTATTACAGTTGTCCCATTTCCCCCCTTCTCTCCCCTCCACCCTGTACCCCCTCTCCCACCCACAATCCCCCCCTTTAGTTCATGCCCATGTGTCATACTTATGAGTTCTTTAGCTTCTACATTTCCCGTACTATTCTTGCCCTCCCCCATCTATTTTCAACCTACATTCTATGCTATTTATTCTCTATACCTTTTCCCCCTCTCTCCTCCTCCCACCCCCCTGTTGCTAACCGTCCATGTGCCCTCCATTTCTGTGGTTCTGTTCCTGTTCTAGTTGTTTACTTAGTTTCTTTTGGTTTTGCTTTAGGTGTGGTTGTTAATAATTGTGAGTTTGCTGTCCTTTTACTATACATGCCTTTTCTTTATCTTCTTTTCTTAGATAAGTCCCTTTAACATTTCATAAAATAAGGGCTTGGTGATGATGAACTCCTTTAACTTGACCTTATCTGAAAAGCACTTTATCTGCCCTTCCATTCTAAATGAGAGCTTTGCTGGATAGAGCAATCTGGGATGTAGGTCCTTGTCTTTCATGACTTGGAATACTTCTTTCCAGCCCCTTCTTGCCTGTAAGGTCTCTTTTGAGAAATCAGCTGACAGTCTGATGGGAACTCCTTTGTAGGTTACTGTCCCCCTTATCTCTTGCTGCTTCTAGGATTCTCTCCTTCGTTTTTACCTTGGCTAATGTGATGATGATGTGCCTTGGTGTGTTTCTTCTTGGGTCCAACTTCTTTGGGGCTCTCTGAGCTTCTTGGATTTCTTGGAAGACTGTTCCTTTTGCCAGATTGGGGAAGTTCTCCTTTATTATTTCTTCAAATACGTGCTCAATTTGTTGCTTTTCCCCTTCCCCTTCTGGTACCCCTATAATTCGGATATTGGAACGTTTAAAGGTGTCCTGGATGCTCCTAAGCTTTTCCTCATTTTTTTGAATTCTTATTTCATCATGCTTTCCTGCTTGGTTGATTCTATCTTCCTTCTGGTCCACTGTATTGTTTTGAGACTCAGTTTCCTTACCTTCACTATTGGCTCTCCTCCATCTATCTTCCTGCATCTCTTTTATGGTAACCTGCATCTTTTCCTCTAATTTGTGCCCAAAATCAACCAGTTCTGTGAGCTTTCTGATCACCAGTGTTTTGAACTGTGCATCTGATAGATTGGCTATTTCTTGGTTGCTCAAAAGGATGAGTCCTGGGGGACTGATCTGTTCTGTTGGAAACATATCTTTCCCTGTCTCTCCTTTTTTTTTTTCTTTTTTTTCCCCGGTCTGGTCGCTTTTGTTACGGTGGGGGGTGGAGCCTTAGGTGTTCACTGGGGCTGGGCACCCTGGTCGCTAGATTGTGACATTATATGTGGGGGTGGGGGTGGGAGTGGGAACAGGAGAGAACAATGGTGGTAGTTCCGTTCTCCTGGGATCTCAGTCCCTTCTCTGGGATCCTGGACTGCACGCTCTGCCCTGGTCCACAATCGCTGCCTCACTGGTCGCTGCCAGCCGCAACTTGTGTACTCAGGGATCACCGCTGCGTTCTTGTGCGCCAGATGGCTGTCGCGCCGATTTTGTGCCAAGTTTTCCCCAACCTCCGTGCGCCGCCGACCTGCGCCAGCCCCGCGCCCACCCGGCTCGTCGTCTCCTACCAGTCTGGATGAACGGGTCTAGTTCAACTTCTTGGCTGTCCGACTTCCATTTAGATAAATCCTCTATCAGTTCTGGGTGTTATTCTGGCTGTAAATTATTGTTGTTCTAATCTTGGTTGTGCGAGGAGGTACGGTGCGTCCACCTCTCCCTCCATCTTGCCGGAAGTCCCCACCAGTTTTCTTATATTTAGAATATTTCTAAAGTTCTATGAGTCCGTCTTGTCCCTACACCTAGAACTAGGGTCCCCAACACTCCCAGTGGTGTGCCTGGGACTTCCCTGAGTTTAGCACCATAAACCCTGTGCCCTGGGGCCTCCCTGAGTCCCAGACGGTTGTCACCCTGCCTGGGACAGAAGACAGGTTCTTTGGCTGAAGCCAAGAGGCCTCTACAAATCAAAATAGCATCTCTGTGAATTTACTACAAAAGCTTTGTAATTTGTTTTTTGATATTGTATAGCATTTGGGAACATCAAAACGGACTTGTAGTAGACAGAAGGATTCTCACAAAGCTGCAGCTCCAGAGTGGCGAGCGTGCCGAAAGTCTCCAGGGGAACGCAGAGATGGTGGTTGTCGGCGGTGGCATCCCCGGTTCTGAAGGGTCACCCAAGGGGAAAGCAAAATTCACCCTGCAGCATTTCAGTGTGCCCCTGACTTTCAAGCAACAGCTCTGTCTTACAAACACAATTGTTATGTGTTTGGGGAACAGTGAGTTGAGAAATCAACAAACTTGTAGAACTTTAAGCAATTTATGTATTTAAGTAATACCAACAACAAAGGAGCCAAATTATAATGGTGATTAATTTGAATTCATTGATCAGTACAGTTGAAGGACTGGTTTATATGTAACTGCATCTGATAAAATTACGATGTATATGAAGTAACTTACTCTTTTTTTAAAATTGTTGTTCAAGTACAGTTTTCTGCCTTTTACTCCCATCCCAGCCCACCCCCCAGCCCTCCCCACCTCCCTCCCATCTCCATCCCCCCAAAGTAATTTACGTTTAACATTAGCTGTCTATTTTGAGTCACTGTGAAACCTAAGTAAATTTGGTATGTAGTTTAAATACATTAACTAATAATATTTCAAAGGAAAAATAATACTCTCAAAAAATAGGATTTCAAAGAAAATATATTAACCTCTGTCTAAAGAGTGTTTTCAATGAATAATGAAGGTCTCCACTATAAAGCTTGTTCAAAATCACCAAACTGTAGAATTTTTAGACATCTTTTTGGTACTTCTAGATTTCCCATGCTAGAGTAAGGCTAGAGTTAGTTCTTTGTAGAAAGGAATTTCTCTCTTTCATTTGACCATAAAAAATGCTTATCTTGTCTGAATTTTCACATGTTAGTGAAAGTAGGAGATGGCAGAACTTACTCGTCAGCAGGTGTGGAAGGAGCGTGTGGTTCTAACAATGTGGTTCAATGGTCATGAGAGGGAGGCGCTCTGTCCGGCTTCCCAGAGCCTCAGGGCTGCGAAAGGCTCCAGGTCCCCCAGCCTTTGCTTGAGGTTCTGTGAGTCCGCACGCCAAGCACTTCACTTTCTTTTTTTAACCCAGATCATTGAGTCAACTCTAGCAAAAACTTGTAATGTAATTTAAATTTAAACGAAGTAATACAAAGTCACAAACACAGTTTCATGCCAAGATGATCTTTATTCTGTGCTCTGTTGTTCCCACCATATGGCTCACGCCCAGCCTGGGAGCTGGTATGAATCAGGAAAGAAATAACGTCATTAGCACGAAACAGAAGGGCAGACAGAAAGCCAGACTCAGCCTGCAGATCCATGTTTTGTTATTTGATGCTGTTTTGATTTTGAACTAAAAATGTATCTACAAAGTAGTTATAAATAGGGAATTTTTGCACAGAAAATTTAAGTGCATCATAGAATTGTGTATATACTGATTAGAAATAGTTCGAATGCAGTCTTTCCAACTGAAATGAACCCTGCAGCGACAGTGTAGTTAATGAGATCATCTTGTATAATTTTATAATTAATGGGAGCTGTGTGGTGCAGACTTACCCAGTCCACCCTAATTTGGCTCCATGTGAATTGGTCTGCCTCCCTCCCTCCCTCCCTCGCTCCCTTCCCCCCTCTGTCCCTTCCCCCCTCCGTCCCTCCCTCCCTCCCTTCCTTTTCTCAGTAAAGCACTGGTGAGCTATACATTCAAATTACCTTTCTCATAACTGAAATGGAAATTGGCTTTAAATGGAATCAAATTTCTCACTCCCAGATACTAATGCTGTCAACTTAAAAAAATGAAGAAAAAAAATTTTATAGGAATGCCACATTTTATTTAAATTGGCTTCAGCTTTTTGTTGTTGTTTTGCTTTTTTTTTCTTCTATAGTTTCTTCCTTATCATTTACTGCTTAATATTTTCCTTCTTTTTCTCATATTCTCCTCCTAAGATGCCAAAATATTTGAAATAAGTAATAGTACTGCCAATATTTTATGTCTGTCTTTTGAAATAAGAGAATGCGCAATTTTTAAGATATATCCAACCAAACTTTTAATTGTCTTCAAGGATTAAGATGCTGATTCTGCCTCCAGTTCCAGTTCCAAAGATTAAAGGAATTGATCCAGGTCTCTTCAAGGTAATTAACTAAAAAATTATCTAAGTTATAGATAACACTAATCAAATGATGCCTGAAGAACATTGTCTTGTGTTGAGAGCTTTTGCAAGCTCTATGCAATGCATTCCATTTTTTGTACCCCTTCTGGAGGAAAAATTTTTCAAATACCACATCTCTTAAAACAATGTCTTATGTCTTTAAAATTTCTTCACTATTATGTATTTTTATTACATGATTCTGTTACTATTTATTCTAACCATGATTAAATCCTTTAACCATTATGTTTCTTTGCGTAGATCCTAATTTCTCTTTCTGTGTTCTAGGACGGAAAACTAGAAGAGGTGAACACAATCCTAGCCATTCATGACAACTATAAACCCGAATTCTACAATGACGACTCTTGGGTTGAGTTCATTGAGCTGGATATTGATGACCTTGATGAAAAGACGGAAGGGTCGGACACAGACAGACTTCTGAGCGATGACCGTCGGAAGTCACTTCACATCCTTGGGGCGAAGGATGACGACTCTGGACGTACCAGCTGCTATGACCCAGACATCCTGGAGGCCGACTTTGACGCTGGTGACATGGCTGACGGTCCCTCCGAGGTTGCTAAGCCGCAGAGGTTAAAAGGGGAAGCAGATCTCTTGTGCCTTGACCTGAAGAATCAAAACAACCCACCTTCCAGCGACGCTCCCCCTGCCACTCAGGAGCCCAGTGTCACCCCGGCCGAGGAAAACAAGTCCAGACCACTTCTTCTCGGCGACAACGCCCAGTCGACTCATCCAACTGCCCACGCTCAGCTAAGCAACCCAAGCTCACTGGCCAACATTGACTTCTACGCCCAGGTCAGCGACGTCACACCAGCAGGGAGTGTGGTCCTCTCCCCGGGCCAAAAGAATAAGGCAGGGATACCCCAGTGCGACATGCAGCTGGAAGCGGCCTCGTTCTGCCAAGCCAACTTCATCACGGACAATGCCTACTTCTGCGAAGCAGATGCCAAGAAGTGCGTGGCGGCGGCCCCGCCCGCGGAGGTCGGTGCACGCGCAGAGCCCAGCTTTAACCAGGAAGACATTTACATCACCACGGAAAGCCTTACCACTACTGCTGGCAGGTCTGGGGCCTCCGAGCGGGCCCCGAGCTCTGAGACGCCCGTCCCAGACTATACCTCCATTCACATAGTCCAGTCTCCGCGGGGCCTCCTACTCAACGCCATGGCCTTGCCCTTGCCCGACAAGGAGTTCCTCTCCTCTTGCGGCTATGTGAGCACAGACCAACTGAACAAAATCATGCCGTAGCCTTTCTTTGGTTTCCCGCGAGCTACATATTTAATGGCAAAAGGAGCGGGGCTGGGGCCTGAATGCTTAAACCAAAACAATGTTTTACCCTTTTGGGGATGGGGGAGGGGAGGGGAGTGTGGATTCTAAATGCCTTTTCCTGAAATGTTGAAACATGATGTTAAAAAATAATAATGAGAACACTTAATCAGATAGATATTTCTGTTGTGAATTGTAAATATTTTAAAGAATTGTCTCAAAGATTGTTTAGTGGCAGTGATCGTCTCGTTATCATGGGTGTTCATTTTGTGATGCTATGCATTCAATGGCTGTGTTTTTAATGTAGAGTAAATCATGCTTTTTGAAAAAGCGAACAATCAGGTGGCTTTTGCATTTCGGGAAAATCGAATGCACAATATAGCACAGGCTAATTTTTTTTTTTTATGTGATCAGGAGCTGAGAATATACGTATGAAGACAAAAAAAATAGTTTGGATATGTAAAATTTATTTTGGCATAAAACTGATGAAGATATTTTTAATATTCACACTTCAAGCATGGCTGTTTTATATCACACAACCCACTGTGTGCCCAAGGGCGTGTGGACCCGTCTGGAGAACGTTATGAGCAGCCGTCTGCCGCGGGCGGAGGGCTCTGGTCAGCGCACCTCAAGAAAACAAATAGACAAGTTAGTTTTTTACAAAGCCCTTTTTATACCCCCCCGAACTCCTTAAACACTTCTAAAATGACTGTAGTCACCCAAAGGATTGGAATAGGCTCGTCTTAGCTGAATTTTTTAAACCAGCCTTTGTTCATTTAGGAAGCTTTCAAAATGTTTGCACAGACCCACGTATCATGAACCAGAAAGGAAACACACAGCAGAACCCTTTCTTTCCCCCAAGTTCAAGGTTCGGGCCAGAGCATCACGTCCTAAGAGAAGTGGCGGTCACAGCCGGTTCACGGTTTTCACGTTGGTGAGGGTGCTGCGGGAGAGCCAGCCATGGCGCAGGGGCCGGTGCTCAGTGCGCACCCAGAGCCCCCGCCGCGGGATCCGGGCAGAGGCAGCCGGGCGGGCATTCTCCCGGGTTACCTAGGAAGGGAGCGAGGTACAGGAAGCACGGTGTAAGTCGAAGCAGGTCCTAATGAAACTGAGCAGATGATGATGGAGTCAAGAGTGCGAGAAACGGGTTTTGTTTCAGGGCGTAGGGCCAGACGCGTTCTCAGCAGGTACGGTGATGAGACACAGGAGAGACGAGATTCTAAACCCCGCCCCCCCCCCACCCCCCCCCCACCCCCCCGCAGAGAGCTCCAAGTTGACTCAAGCCAACAGCAGAAAACTCTCTTCCGCACCCAACCTTGTATAGGATTTATTTCAAGTAGCGAAAGAAGATATTACATCATTTTTCGTTTCCCCCTCGAGTGCACTGGCCTCAAAGCAGGTACTCAGAAGAAAACCAAGGGGCCGGAGCCGTTTATGAATTGTCACTCGATCCCTTAACAATCTAAACATCGTGCTTCAGTGCATCAGGACAGCTCCCCAAGAGTTTTTATCAAAAGGAGAAGAATCTTATCTCAGTGAAGAAGGCTTCTCATTTTAAGTATTTTTTTTAAGGTGAATAAAACTTTCAAGTTAGCTTTAAGTTGAGTAGTATTTGCCATTTAGCATAGGCCTTTTTAGGAAGTAAGCCTCATGGTTGGTAATTTTAAGTTCCCTCTTTCTCGCAAGGACCGGGGAAAAGCTTGAATTTGGGTGTTGAAAGTGCAGCGTGTTCCTTTGTAATAATAGATGTTCCATAGACTTTCCGCTACTTTGCTGCTATGGTTTTTCTCTCCGAGCTACATAATTTAGTTTCATATAAAAATCCCATCGCTGTAGAACCTAATTCAACTGAAAACTGTGTGTTTGGGAAAACTATCTTACTGTTTCACACTAGGCTGACAACGTCTCTCTCGCCAAAAATAGCTAAATACCTCAATCAGTCTCAGAATGTCATTTTGGTACTTTGCTGGCCACACAAGCCATTATTCACTAGTATGACTAGTTGTGTCCTGCAGTTTATATATTTAACTTTCTTTATGTCTGTGGATTTTTTTTTCCTTCAAAGTTTAATAAATTTATTTTCTTGGATTCGCGGTGGTCTGTGTCTCTTGTCAAACACGCACGTGCCAGGAAAGCATCCTGCCCTCGATGGCACACCGAGTCCTTCGTGTTGTAAGGGGACCTTGGTGTGGTTGGCTTAAACACGTGGATGGGAGTGTGGAGATTTTTGTTCTGTGCTGGAATATGAGGACGCAGTGGACACGTCTCCTGATCTTTCTGTGCAGAAGCAGGAGCCTGACCCACAAACGCCCTGCTGGCCTGCCTGGACCGCACCCTCTGGGGCTCTCCGAGTCCTGTTTTGGATGCATTTGACTTTGCACGGTGTGTGTGGCATGTGTGGGGTGTGTGTGGAGGGGGAGGGGAAACTCGAGTCTTTAAGCTACATTTCTAGCTTGAGCACGTCGCCTGGAGGAGGGACCGGGGCTACCAGGCACACATTAGCTACTTGTCACCACGGGACGCAGATTGGAAGTCGGGCCTGGGAGGGAGGTGGGTAGTGCAGGAGCCTGAGAGCGCAGGGAAGCAGGGCGGCCTAGGTCCCCCCCAGGAGACGCCAGGCAGGCCTCACCAAGTCACAGCCTCCTGGGCAGTGAGGGTCTGCCAGGGCCCTGAGAAGGCCCCTGAGCAATTAGTGGTTGCTTTAGCAAGTTGGATGCAAACGGCCACGACTTTTCATAATACCAGAAGGTTACCTTCCCTACAGGAAAAAAAAAATTCTCCACCTGCTGCCTTCTGCCTTGGGAGCCACCATTGCCTGCAAGAACCATGGGTGAAGCCTCAGCGGCCTTCTTTCTTATGTGGAAGTACAGTTTACTTGTGTCTACACAATTAAATGCAGGAAAATTGTGTCTCTTCTTTCACTGCGGTTTTGGAGCACATACTGCTTCAGCGTCGACCAAACCAGGGTCACCATTTAAGGTCAGGTATTTGTTTCCGACATGAGCTAACCCAGCCTTATGACATCATGAGTGTATCATGTAAACACATGTGGGCACTTCAGGGGTTCACGAGTGAAGGGAGAGGACTGAACAAGCACGCTCCTTTCTGCTTCAGGGGATTAATGTGCCATCGAAGATGGTTACGCGTGTGTTCCTGCGTTCCAGCTTCTCAGGGCTCCTAAGATAGACTAGCACTGAAGTCTATTTATATATTGCAATATTTACCAACGTACCTAGTTTTACACCAAAATGCAAGGTGTCTTTCCATGTTCCCTGCCTGCTTAGGGTAAGAAATAGGGGAAAACTAAACGTTGCTTAAATCCCGGCTCCTCAGTATGGAACTCAAGACCCCACATAACTTGCCCAATTGTCTTTGCAGGCTTAATAGCTGAGAGCTGAGTGTCAAGGGCACAACTTCTGGAAAGGAATTTGACCTTGGGTAACATTCACGCTCCGCTCCCTTGGGCATTTAGTAAGAGCGTTGTGTCAACTGTGTTACGCAGGCAAAAATGCTCATGTTTAAAACGACCTTTGATGAATCACATCTGGATGGGGAGAAACGCTGAATACCTGGAGAGAAACCGTATTTGTGACTTCAGTGTGGTGGCTCTTGTAACTGAGCATGTCCCCTATGGGGACACTGGAAGCAGTGTCTGTGGGGTGTAACAAGAGCCACTGGCTCCAGCGGGGCACAGAGATTCTAAGGAGGTGGGGGGCAGGGGGCAGGGGGCAGGAAGGGTAAACGGGAGGCCTTCACCTACCAGTAGGAGACTCATTCCTTTTCATGGAAGCTGTCAGCTGGGGAGGAAAGGAGAGAAAACACGGGACAGCTGTATAAACAACCTGCACGGGCTGTTGCTATGACTACAACTCGACAGCAGAAAGCCTGGCGCTGCCCTGTCCTCTGTCCTTCCTGTCCTACATTCTCCCGAGTAGACCGGGGCCAGCTGTGCTCTGTGGTCTGCGGCCGTCTGGGGGATGTTTACTCGAACCTAAGAAGATCGCCTTGCGGCGGATGGAGCGAGAGACAGTTGCCACTCCTCGAACAGAGTGTGTCCCGGCCCATCTCTGTCCGTGCTCACATCCCCCACCCGAAAAGCTCCCACTTACCAATGCAGCCTGCTGGAACTCGCCTCCTCCTCCGTGACCCAGTGCCACTGTCTCCTTCATGAAGCCCCGCCCACCCTGATTCCCGGGAGCCTTAAGAAATCACGTTGTTCCCTGAACCATTTTCAATGATTCACACTCCGGCTGTTAGCGCACCGACGGTGCCTAGGATGGGTCCACTAACGCAGGCCCGGGGCACACCTCTTCCCTGACCCGTTCTTCAATGAGGGATTCCGTGTTGAATGCATTTGGAAAACACTTCCACTGCACTTCGCTCTGGGAGGGACAGAGGGCATGTGGACACTTCAAAGCTTCTACAGTTTTTTAAAAACAAAACAAAACTAAAAACTAAAAACAAAATAAATCTAATATTTAAATCTGTTTAAATCTAATATTATTCCCCCATTTATTTAACTATGAAAAATAGGAGGAAGGAGTAGCCATTATTATATCTAGTAACACTGGGAAAAGCTGCTCTAACCAGACTCACTAGCAGGCCTGGCAGAAAATACAGTTAAAGTACTTTTCAGATGAGTGTGAGTGTGAGCAAAGCATCTTTACATGAGAGCATTAAATTTACCTTCTCAATAAAACTTCCTCAGAAATAAAAGGCGAAGGGAAACAAAAGAAAAAACGAACCCATGAGACTATATTGAACTGAGAAGTTTCTGCACGGCAAAGGCAAATATTAACAAAACAAAAAGACGAACTGCTGAGTGGGAGGACTGATTGTCCAGCGGGACACAGCCAATGAAGGGTTAACAAGCAACACCTGTCAGGAACTGATACACCTTAACACCAGATTATCAATTCAATTAAAAATAGACAGAGAGCCTGAATAGGCACTTCTCCAAAGATGACATGTAAATGGCCAATAGACCTACGAAAAGATGCTCAGCATCACTAGTCATCAGGGGCACGCAAATTAAAACCGCAATGACATCTCCTCTCACGCCCGTCAGAATGGCTGGCATCCGTACGTCCGCAGGCAACAGGTGCGGAGGAGGATGTGGGGAAAGGGGAACCCTCCTGCACGGCTGGCTGGGATGCAAACTGGTGCAGCCTCTTTGGAGAACAATGTGGAGGTGGCTCAGAAAATTAAAAATGGAACTACCTTATGAGCCAGCAATTCTACTTCTGGCTATTTATCAAAGAAACCCAAAATACTGGTTGTAAAAGATATATGTCGCCCTACAGTCATTGCAGTGTTACTTACACTAACCATGCTGTGGAGGCAGCCCAAGTGCCCGTTGATAGATCGATGGAGAAAACACAGGTGCTGCATACGTGCAGCGGAGTATTACTCAGCCATAAAACGGAACGAAAGCTTGCCGTTTGTGGCAACACGGCTGGACCTAGAGGGCATCATAGTAAGTGAAATGAGTCCGACAAAGACAAATACCCCATGAGTTCAGTTATATGTGGAATATAAAGAACAAAGCAAGCAAAAACAGAAACTCATAGATCCAGAGAACACACTGATGGCTGCCAGATGGGAGGGGTGTTGAGGCCTGGGCAAAAAAGGTGACGGGATTAAGATGTACGAAATAGCAGTTGCAGAGAAACAGTCACGGAGATGCAATGCACAGCAGAGCATACAGTTACTGGTCCTGTAATGATGACATATAGTACCAGGTGGGGACTGGACCCAACAGGGTGATCACTTCATAAGTTATGGAACTAATCACTACGTTGTACACCTGAAACTAATATAGTATTGTGTGTCAGCTGTAAGCGAAATTTTTTTAATTATAACAAAATAAAAGGCAAAGCAGTTGCATGATTAAAAGAACTACAAATTCTTCTCACTGCAACACAGGCACATTTCTCTTTTTCATACATGGAACGGCATTTTCTAGGAACTTAGAAGTCGTAGAGAGTTCTTCATCTTCCCTGTGACAATGAACTTCTATCTCTCTGCTGAGACAGACTCTCTGAATGGCCCCCCTCTTCAGCTGGAAGGCTGGAGGAGAAGGATTAACACACGAGGCTCAACCAACAATTAGTGGATTCTCTTTCTCAGTCGGTGCACCGCGTGCTTGCTGAGGCGCACTCGCTGTGCCCATACAGAATGATATGTATCTGTTTCACGCAAACAAAACTGATTCATTCCTTATTGCTGTCTGCTGAATTTTTTAAAAAAAAAATAACAAGTCACGCAGACAGAACTTCAAACATAATAGATTTCTTCATGGTGGCCCCAGGAAGCAGCCTTTGTGGGGTTATAGAGAAAAGCAATTTCCTATTGATTAAAAAAAAAAGACTCTACATGATCGCTCTGTGAGCACCGAGGTGTCAGCAGCGTTTTCTGCAGGCATAAAGTAATTTGTCAGGAAATCGTATGCACATTGTCCTTCCCAGCAGTGCCGTAGTCAAAACTCCAAAGTGGAGAGATTCCTGTCGTTAGCCTTCCTTTAGATGGCACCATGCGATAAAACTGATCTGCACAGGATTTGGATGTTATGAAGCACTTCCATACGTACTTTCTAAAACATAACAAATCTGTGTTAAAGGCAAGTCAGGCATTTCTTTCAACGTTTTACAGAAGAGAAAATCACAGCTCAGAAAACCTAAGAGATGCTCCCAGCATTAATGAACTAGTAAGTGGTGAAATCAGGACAAAAGCACAGACCTTCTGACTCGTCTGGTGTTCTAAGATTCTAAGAACAATGTCAACTATAACACTACTTGATGGGGGGTGGGGGGGTGGGGGGCGGGAAGCTTCCGATCCTATTCTCAGCGTGGAGAAAATGGAGAATTGTTATACAATACCCACGGATGCAAAGAATCCCCTGCTAAAGATAAAAGGTTCTTTTCCTGCTAAACATAACCAGTGGTCTGCTACCAAATGCTTAACAACCCACTCTCCAGGAGGGGGTGTGTCTAGGTTCGTAACATTTGCCGGTTTCCATGGTGTAAGCACTCCCGCCGTGGCTGATTTTCAGCTCTCAGTGTTTTGTCCCTGGACACACAGCTGGGCGG